AAATTCAAAGCAATCGGTTCAGTAGTTACGCCGTGAAAGCGGAACAAACAAACTAACTCACTTTCCGATTTATAATACATATTATAGTAAGGATTACAAACAGACATTTTTTTTTTTTATTTGTATAGATATGTCGAATGCATGAATGTGTCGGCTCGGCCGGAGTGATACCACGGCCGAGCAGCAAATCATAATGAAACCACGCTTGCGTTGTGTGAGTGAGGTTACTGGAGGCCCAATTACCGCTCCCCCCCTTCCCTAATCTCCCCAATCCCTGAATCCCCGACATTCCTCAAATACCTAATCACCAAAAGGCCGGTAACGCACTTGTAACGCCTCTGGCGGCGCCGATTGGTTAAATGCTTACCATCAGGTGCTGACCAGTAGGTAACTGTCGCGAAGAACCTAACGAGTAACCGGGGCTCCAGCTCGCCGTGCAGGAGAAGGAACGGGGTGGTTTTTAGTCAGTAAGAGTCTGACACTCCCTCCTGAGCAGACATTCGATGATTTTCCCCCCTTAAAAAAGCTAGTAGGTAACTAAAATAAATAAAAAAAAAAAACAAAAAAAATCGTTTTAAAATAAATTTATTTATGATTTTTCATCTTTATTCTTTTTAGATTTTTTCGATTTATGTTTAGATTTTTTCGTCCGTTCCGGTGCTCGATTCTGGAAACAGTGGACGCCATAGACACTGTTTATTTTTATAATATCTCCTTGTGATAGTAGTTCGTTATTCTGGCCGAGTGATCTCATTATGGAGCCGTCTGGATCCTGCGGAACGAAAATATTTTGTTAATATTTGTTTTTTTTATTTATTATAACATTTCAGCCTATCTCGTTGGCCGAGTGGTCGCAAGTGCGACTGCCGGGCAAGGGGTTTTGGGTTCGATTCCTTAAATATGTTGTTTTTAAATCTCAGTAGTAGCACGGAGTCTGGAATTGTGCCTGGTATATGGCAATAGGCTCACCTCCTATTACATGGGAATGATAACATAAATAGTGAAAACTGGGGGCTAAAACGTCATTTCTACATATAAAATGTACATAGAAGTGACGTCACGCGACATTTCAAATCAATATATCGTCGAAAGTATTCGTTTCTGTAAGGAAATAAAAAATACGTGTCTAATGTTTTTAAATAATTTACCGGACGGACATTAAAATAAAAATTAGTCGTCTACCCTATTTTTTCTGTGTGTGTGCAATAAAGTTAAATTAAGATACCAGTACCGACACAAACGGTACCAACTAAAGTAAATTTTTTGAATTTTTGTTGTCTACCCCACATTATGCTACATTCGCATTATATCTTGGGGGTCATCCACAAATTACGTCGCACGAATTTCATGATTTTTTACCCCTCCCCGTCCTTGTCACAGCTAGTCACATTTGTGAGACCCCCCTCCCGCCTGGGCCTGGGTGAGGCGGGAGGGAGTGTCAGACTCTTACTGACTAAAAACCACCCCGTTCCTTCTCCTGCGCTTAGGGCGGGAGCCCTGGTAACCCGTTAGTTTCTCCGCGACCCCCCCTAGCGTGACGTCACATTTTGCAGAATTGAATGTAAAACTTATTGAATGAAAACAGCGGTTCCGGACTCCGGTTAGTCGCGTCGGGTCTTGTACACCCAGGGGAAGAATAGGGGTGGTAAAACTAATCTACAGTATTTCTAAGTATAATAATAAGTTATAAAAATATATGCTTACATGATCTTTGTAAGTGGCGACTGTGGATATGCCAGTTTTGCCGATCTTCCGCCAAAATTGCCAAGCAGGATGCGTGGCGCTTTGATAGTCGTATGGCATGTCTAAAGTCGCTTCGTCGCGTATCTTTTCAAAATGGTGTAGTTTGTCTGCAAATTAAAAAAAAATACATAAAGGTGCTCCCTCATCGGTAGCATTCACGTATAATGTAACAATCACAATCACTGTCTCTTATAATACAGGTTCCCCTAGTGTAAGAGACAGGGTTTTACAGTGTCTGTGCATAGATTTATGTCATTTAGATTTTAAGATTTGCAATCATGTATTTATATCTATGTATGTTTGGTGGTAAATAAACTATTATTATTATGTGTGTCTTAACCATTCACGGGACCACAGGGTCCCGGTCATTTGGGAGGCGTGCGAGGGGCCGAAGCCAACTGCGCAGAGGCCCTTTAGACAACTTTAATCTAAATGTAATGGACACACAAACCGGCGATTATCCCTGTATGCACTATGGGAATGCACCCAAGGACAGTCCCCGGTTAGTGTAGAACTATTGTGGATAATGGAAGAAAAAAGGTAGGGCTATGGATGGGTTGCTGTGGACTAGTAAATGGGGAACTATGGATGACTATGGCACCTGCTATTATTAACATTATAGATTCGACTTTGAGCATTACATTACAATAATACCTCCCTGACTAACGAGCATTTGCGTGTAATGTAACTTATTGATTCAAATATAGCGGCTGGAGGAAGTGGTGGGTGAAGTCAAAGTCAAAGCATTTATTTCAAAAAACCATATTTTGGTACGTTTGAAACGTCAACAAAGACAAAATAAATAATAGTCTGTCAGTCAGTCAGTTCGTCAGTGAAACTAGGTGAAGCTAGGTGCTCATTCCAAAATGTAGATTCGAATGGAGAAGAACGAGCAAGAAACTCCATTCGTTACTCTTTTTAAAAAAGTATGTTCTACAATGTCTCTGATACATATATTCCAATACCGTACGTATATGTGAGAACAATGCAAAGACACGCTTGACGCATTATACTAATTACAAAACTTACTAAAATAAAAAAATAAAAACATCTTATAGTCTAACATGGTGCTCACATATGCATACTGACAATCCAAACAAATAGTGCTTCTATACAAGAAAATGAGTGTTACAAGTTGTATCAAGATATTACACATTGTATCATTACAAGGTGCGCATTGTAATGCTCGGTTCTCCTCCTTCACTGATGTAATGCTCAGATCTGTAACGTTACCTTACACGCGAATGCTCGCGGTGAGGGAGCACCTTTAAATATATCATTGAAGGTAGTCGTGGAAAAATTTACGACTATAATATTGTATGGTTATCAAGGTTAAGAGTGTGTACCAAATATCAGATCGATCTGTCGTCAGGATGAGGGTAAAATCCGATTACTAGAGGACTTCAATTTTTTGGGCCTATTCTGAATTTTTTTTTTTGATTGTACTTTTGTTACTGTTCGAGGGTAGATCTTCATATAGATACCGTGGCCCCGGTACGAAGTAGAAGAAGTGGTTCGAAACTAGTAGAGCTTTTCTCAGTATATTCACGTGAGTAACCCGCAGTTTTTAGTTAATTTAGTATGTCTCACGATAGTTATTATAAAAACAATAACTTGCCAGGTCTAACATGACGCATGTGCACTCGGATATGTCGGTCTCGGTCATGCCTGGAGACCTCGAAGTAGAATCCGAGCATCGCCATCACCATCATCGCTGTATGTTGTACATGCTGGTCACCCTTGAACAGCTCCACGCAACCGAAGATCTGTAGGAGAAAACATTTTATTTTTATTATTATAACTTTTAAATCGGTCTTAAAGACTGTTGGTGCGCCGGTATGGGCAATTGGCTGCCGTGCAACGTGTCTCGGTTACGATTCCCGCACGGAACAACTCTTTGTGTGATCCATAGATTGTTGTTCCGGGTCTGTGTGTCATGTGTATGTGAATTTGTATGTTTGTAAACGCACCCACGATACAGGAGAAAATCCTAGTATGGGGCAACGTTTCATTAAAAAAAAATATTCTATACATACATACATACATAAATTCCGAGACCATGGCACGCTAATTGCTATGATTCCTACACACCTCTTTCTGGGATGCCGTCTCCTAGCTAAGGAGGAGTCAGGACGCGTGAGGCAACGTAGCGCTGCCTCATCGCAACCCAGCCATCGCGAAGGACACTCCGGGCGTCGGGGATCGCGAGACGATCTCCGGCCACCGTAAGCGCGGGCCCGACCAGAAACAGACCCGAGTGTACGGCGCGTCGCGTTCCGCGCGCGCCTCAAAGAGTCATCGTCTGATGGCTCTCTGACACGGCAACACGGATGGGGCCCAACAGGGCTGATGCCGATTCGGAGTCGCGGAGAACCTAACAGGTTACCGGGCCTCCGGCTCGACGTGCAGGAGAAGGAACAGGGTGGTTTTTAGTCAGTAAGAGTTTGACACTCCCTCTCGCTTCACCCAGGCGGGAGCAGTCACTCGATGATTTTCCCCCCTTAAAAAAAAACAAAGTCAAAGTCCGCATGCAGGCGAGACCCGCGTGCGGACTAAAATACGCGTGACAGGAAAAAGACCTTTAGTTCCAAGTGTCAGTCAAAATATTATCTAAGTAGTATTTATTTTCTTACCTGTAACATAACATCGCAACTTTTACCCCCGAAGGGGTAAGCAGAGGTGCACATTATGCCACTGTACCTCTACAATGTAACACCCACTTTTCACTATTTATGTTATGAGTCCCAAGTAATAGGGGGTGAGTCTTATTGCCATATACCGGGCACGTTTCCAGACTCCGTGCTACTACTGAGAATTTTTTAAAACCCAGTAATACTTTGTCCGGCCCGGGAATCGGACCCGAGACCCCTTGCCCGGCAGCCGCACTTGCGACCACTCGGCCAACTTACCTGTTCTTCCTAACCTGTACTTAGACTAAATTACTTTATTTAGCGGTTGCTACTGATATAAATAAATAGGGTAGGTGCTTCAAGGATGTTGATAAAAAGGCGGAAATCATGTCACTTGTAAATAATTTAAGCACCGAAATGTCGGTGAGTTATTTGTGTGCGTGTAATGGGTTACCAGACTTAAGATAATGACGGATGTCCTTCGTGCCAATGTGTGTGTATTCTTCGTGTAAGTGTATAGTAGCCAGGTGCCACAGCCGTTGTTTCTAGAGACTATGTCCGCCTTTTTCCAATGTTAGTACTTGGGGTACGTTTAAAAAAAAAAAAAAAACAATCGACAGAAAATGGTAAAAATCTTACATAGTATATTTTGTAAAATTGTTTGAAAAATTAGAATTCTCATTTTGTGTCTTTTTTTACGATACTAAATACATAAGATACTAATTATTGTCAAAAATTTTCATTTGATTACAAACCTAAGTAATTTGTTTCATAATATTGGTGGCTATACATATAAACTATCAGTCTCATAAATGGCATAACAATTTATATAAAGTTGATACTAAAATATATTTACATTTAATTAAAAACTTTCACTCCTAAGTTAAAAGATTCATTTCTCATTGGCACAAGATTTAATTCACAACCGTTTAGTACTGTCATTTTTTAAATTAGGAAAAAAATTTTTAATTGCAGTAAAATATTATTGTGCTAACACAGAACATTTATAACATACATTTGATTAAAAACTTTCACTCCTAAGTTAAAAGGTTCATTTCACATTGGCACAAGATTTGATTAACAACCATTTTATCCTGTCATTTTTTAAATTAGGATAAAAAGTTTTCATTGTATCTTTGGTATACAGATAATAATTTTTAACAGATAATAAACATTTTTGTACAAAACTAACAAATCAGTTATTTTGAGGTAAAATATTGACTATAAAATTCGATATAGGTAACACATTTTTATATCTACGCGTATTATCTATTAAATCTTGAAACTATATATAGCTAATTCAAAATTAATAATACTTTGAACACAAATATCTTTTAAGGAAGTAGGAACACAATTCTTAAAGATCATCGGTAAAGGCGGAAAAACATTATCGTGTTGTGGCGTGTCGTGTCAGAAAGCATATCGATTTCATGTATTTAACTATGGTTAGAGACACACTCAGAGCCGTATTATCCCTAAGGCAAACTAGGCAAGGGCCTAGGGCGCCAGGTTGCAGAGGGACACCGCGAGAAACGCGTGCCTAACTGCCCATAGAGTGGGGGTGGCGCCAAAAAATTAGGGCCGGCTAATAGGTGCTTGCTTAGGGCGCTTTCTAGGCTTAATCCGCCTCTGGACACACTTGCATATCGTGTCGTGTCGTGGGTTGCCAAGCTTGCAGCCGATTGGTGGCCACGGTGCCACTACACGCCACGTCACGATAGTGCAATTTTTGCCTTGAGTCATAGTGCACATCAACAATGTAACACCCACTTTTCATTAGTTATCATAAACGTAAATAAAGCATTTTATTCAAATAACAAACATTACATAAACCTAACAAATAAAATAAAAATAATCATAAAAAATATTTTTAAATGAACTGATTACAAATTAGTAAACTCAAATTCGAATTAAGAATAAAACGTTTACTAGCAAAACGTCCCTTATCGTAGAATTATTTTTTTAAATCAGTCTTTTTCACAGCCATATTGAAAAAAAATTAAAATAATAGACAATTTGTTATAGAAACATCAGTTATGTTTTACATCATATTTCAAGTACATTATCACTTAGGATAGCAATAAAATAAAAATTTTGTAACTACGACTTCAAATTTATTACTACATAACCTAAAAGCAACGGATAATGACGACAACCTAACAAAAAGGATGATGAGAGTAAATCAAAAATGATTGATAGATATTTTTTTCGTACTTAAAAATGTAGTAGAAACCATTTTTGATGCAACAGGCATCAAAAATGGCTTCTTCTACATTTATTTAATTAGTAGGTTAATCTTAATATCTTCACAGCTAATTCATCAGAAAATAAGTATAATATTTGCTGCTTAAAAGTAGCTTTGACGTTTTAAAAAAGTATTTAAATTGACTAGTTGTCATCATCCTTTACGACAAAATTGAAAAAAAATATGGCAATTAATTTTTAAATTGAAAAGTTCTAACCAAAGTTAGGCCTTTGTAATTATACGAATTTGTATCATAACAATGATCATTAGTCGTATATTTGTTACATAAATAATGGGAACCTTAAATACCAAAATTCGAAGGATTCGAATATTTTAACACTTAAAAATATGTTACTTACCAGTCACAGTTGAAAGGGCACTTTAATACTACAATAATACAGTGCAAACTCCTTTGAAAATAACTTGTTAAATGAGAACCGCAGATTATAAAAATAACTATCACTTCACTTTTTTAAGCGGGATTCACTGAAACGGTTTATAAGACCAAAATTGATCGAATATTTTGTGCGTGATTTCGACCCATCTATATGAAAGCTCGAGGAATCTTCTTTCCAGTTCTTCTTTAGTACAGTCTTTGCATATAACAAACCATTGCATGGCTCTTTCTAATTCTTCTGCCATGGATTGTCGTTCAGTCGCATTTAAACGGCCTGGTCTGTCCACTGCGCAGGTGACGTCACAGATATATCTTTCTAGTTTATATCTGGATTCCAGACGTGCTTTTTCGACTAAATCTTGTTCGTGAATAGATTGTGGAATTGCTAACATTGCACTCATTTGCTCTGCAGTCATTCTTTTTATTGGTATCTTTGACGTATCTTCTACTTTCTCTTTGTCTGTCAGAGGACATTTTCTTTTGACATGAACGTGTAATTTCCCTGCAAAATCGACTTTAAGTATAACTGTAACATTTTCAACCGAATTATATTCTGTAGTTGTTTTAAAAGGCACACTCATTACCAAGTGGTTGTGTTCTGTAATAGCTCTTTCTCCTTCATAAACTTTTATAACTTTGTCCTTTTCCATATCCAAGCAAATTGGTACGAGTCTACGTGCCCCGCAAGGTATATATTGGTGTCTTGTTAGGAATTTAACCATTACGCCTTTGGACGCTTCTATTCCTAAAGACATTGGTAAAATATCAGGCATCATCTTGTGTTCTATCGATAAATGGGAAATTCCATTGAGCAGTGTGGCTTGTATTGCAGCACCAATTGCCATAACTTCGTCCGGTTTCGCGCTAGTAGATATGAGTATACGTCTATCAAAGAAGTCGGATAGCATTTGTTTGACGGGTATGATTTTCCCGCCGCCACCAACGAGTAAAATCGATTGAACTGCAGTTTTTTCCACCTTATTTTCCATTAATATCGCTTGTAGATCCTTAAAAGTGTCTGCGTAAAGGTCCATGCAAAGGTCGTCGTACACTGCTCTGGATAACGTTGTTACGAAATCATGTCCTTCATAAAAATTTTGTAAAGAAACAATACTGTCATCTACAGTTGGGTCTTTGAATGGCCATTTCGCTTCTTCAGCTGCAATCGTCAAACGCCTCATAGCGCATGCATCATTTACAATACTTTTACCGAATTGGATTTCAAAGTCATTCGCTAAATACCCAGCTATACGGCTGTCGAAATGAATCCCTCCTGATTTTTTGTAACACTTAGTATCCACCATATCATAAACCGAGACTCCGTCTCGAGATAAAAGTGACACGTTGCTCATTGTACCACCGAGGTCGTACACTATAACGTTCGATACTTGATGGTAGAGTCTATGGCCTACTGCAGCTGCTATGCAGTCGTTGGTTATCCTTAGAACTTCTAGTCCAGCCATGATGGCCGCATCCCGCGTAGCAGCTTTCTGCACTCCAGTAAAAAATGACGGAACACTGATCACTGCCTTGGTCACCGGACCACCAATATGTTTCTCAGCTGCCTCTTTGACTCGACCTATGATCATGGTTGTTATTTGTTGTGGGGTATACGACACACTCTGCCCCTGTTCTATGACGTTGATCATAGGGGTGCCATTATGGTTTGTAAGAGAAAACGACCACAAAGGCATATCTTCATTAAGTTGAAAGAGGTCATAAGATCGCCCGATTAGACGATACACGCCGAAAACTGTATTTTTGGGATCTGATATAAAATATTCGCGGGCTTCGGTGCCAAATAATCGGCCATTGGGGGTAAACGCGACATAAGAAGGCATGCTGTCAGTTTTATTTTCAAGTTTAATCACTTCAATTCTAGTATCATCATTACGCCACACTGCCACGCTCGTATACGCGGTACCTAAATCGATGCCGATCGCAGCCATTTTTACAAATTTATTAAACTAAAAACACATAGGTACACGAAATACGTCACTTTCGTCACGATTTTTTCAAAATACTAAATTTGGCGGGTAACCGATAATATTTATATACTCGGGCGGGCAATGGGCGGCCAGAAGTTTCCATTCAAATAACGACCAATCAAAGAACGAATACGGGAGAATTATGCAGAATGGGGTTGCAAGCTTGTACTTAGATTTGCCCCTTAATTATAAATTCACTTTTTAATCTAAAATCTACTTTTTACTGCAACAGGCCGATATCTTCACACAAAATTATCAAAAAGCGCACCGTGTAAATACAGATCACCTGATGGTAAGCAATCAGCACCGCCCATGTACATTCAAATGACCCTGTGGAGTTCCAAGTGCGTTGCTGGCCTTTTGGTGGTTAGGTTAGCCTGACCATAGTCTCTGTCTACCCCAGTGTGAGACAGAAGTGACAACATGTAGAATAGAATAGAATATAACTTTATTGTGCACCATTAATAATACAGTACATACAGAAAAGGAAATGACAAATTTAAATAAAAATAATAATGGGCACAAAGGCGGTCTTATCACTTATAGTGATTTCTACCAGACAACCTTTGGGTGGATATAATGAAAAGAAATATTTAGTCGGGTTGTGTACTAAGAAAATAAATAAATAACGTAGGTAGTAATAATACATACATACATGTACATATACATACATATAAACATGCATACATATACACATACATACATGATTACATACCTACTTACACTTAAATATACCATAATTATTGACCACATAAAAGGAAATATGTATACGAGTACATAATCATAGTAATCTTAGTCTTACTAATATCAATATATATTGTAATAAAACTGTAGAACTGAACTGTAATAAAAATGTAGGCTGCGCGACGTCGCCGCGACCGCGCACGCTGCTCATGAGGATGAACCTCTCTGTGGTTCGAAACCAGTATTGCTTTTCTCATTATATTCACGTGAGAAACCCGCGATTTTTAGTTAATTTAGTATGTCGTACGATAGTTAATATAAAAACAAAACTGTAGAAGTATAAATTCCGTACGTTGCAAATATATAAATACTAGATGGACACCGAAACGAAAAATGTGATTAAAAATTTTTGTCTGTCTGTATATTCACGCATCACGCTAAACTACCGGCCCGATTACAATGAAACTTGGCATGATTATACTTTAACATTCTGGGCGGGCATCACACTTTTTATACCGAAAATGTATATTATACACTAAAAACAAACTTAATTGTGCAGCTCGATCCATTGTCGGTCGATTGTCGAATGTTAGGTTAGGTTAGACTTTACGCTGTAACTGTAGGGCCGATGGTCGAAATTAGTTTGAACCGTTATTATAATTTCGAAAATTTGTGTATTTGTTACTCAGTCACGTCATAACGGCTGAACAGACGGGGATGAAAATTAGAACAGCAGCAATTGGAACAGGGGTAAAAAAGTACCATAATCTACCCAGATTATGGTCCTTTTTTTGAGGGGGAAATCATCCAATGACTTCTACCGCCCGGGTGAGGCGAGAGGGAGTGTCAGACTCTTACTGACTAAAAACAACCCCGTTACTACTCCTGCACTTCGAGACAGAGCCCCGGCAACCCGTTAAGTCGTCCGCGGCTCCGTATCGGTATCAGCCGTTATCGTATCGCGATCCCCGACGCCCGGAGTGTCTCTCGGGACGGCTGGGGCGTGAGGAGGTTCGTTCCCTCATGCGCCTCGCCTCCTCCTTAGCTAGCATGACCACTTCGCTGAAGGAGGAGACGGCATCCCAGTCCCCCTCGCTCCGTACCATGGTCTGCACCAGAGCCGGACGCGAGATGTCACCGTCGCCTATCACATGCCTAAGCACACAGCGGTGCTCAGCCCACGCAGGACACACCGCCACTGTATGCTCCACCGTGTCCTCTAGATTATGGTCTGAAAACACACATTCTCATGCTTAAGGGTTCGGGATCGAAACCTACCAACGGCAAGTACCAATGTGACTTTTTTCATGTTACATGTACTTTCTAAGATTATCTAGACACCACTGACAAACTATAATTTCTAATTATAATTTTGTAATCGCCAACCCGCATTGAGCAAGCGTGGTGATTAATGCTCAAACCTTCTCCGTGTGAGAAAAGCCTTTGCTCAGCAGTGGGCATTTATATGCTGTTGATGATGATGATGATTTTTTATACCACCTATATATAACATAACATCACGCCTTTTATCCCCGAAGGGGTAGGCAGAGGTGGACACAGAAATAACACCCACCTTTCACTATTTATGTTATGAGTCCCATGTAATAGGAGGTGAGCCTATTGCCATATACCAGACACATACCAGACACATTTCCAGACTCCGTGCTACTACTGAGAATTTTTAAAACCTAGTTATACTTTGCCCGACCCGGTAATCGAACCTATATACATATATATATATAATTATATATAAAAATTTAAATATTCCCCCACAAAAAAAATCACCCCCATAGAAAGCAGTCTCCATTTCTCTGGTAACACCATTCTACATGTCACTAACGTCAAAATCATGCATCCTTCACGCACTCAAGACCATAGACTATGTAAAATATACCTTTCTCTTTTCAATATTTATATTGCTATCCTTTTCTAATCATCATCTCTGTCACACGATAGAATTATATTTAAACGATTTTTTATTTTAATAGAAGGTAGAAACGGTTTGTTATAATTACTGAAGTTATAATAACTCAATAGGTAATCCTTAGCTTCTACCAGCCCTCCCCCGCTTGTCCGTGGAATAAAAAAGAGCCTGTGTGTTATGCCAAACTATAATCTATACTTGTTCGAAATTTTATACCGACCCCTTGAGCTGTTTGACGTGGTTCAGTAACAAATATACACGAAAGCTCACAAATTTTCGCATTTATAATAGACTAGTGACCCGCCCCGGCTTCGCACGGGTGCAATATGCATGTATTATACATACAAACGTTCCTTAAGAATCACTCTATCTATTAAAAAAACCGCATCAAAATCCGTTGCGTAGTTTTAAACATTTAAGCATACATACGGACATACAGCGAAAGCGACTTTGTTTTATACTATGTATTGATTAATAATCTTATTCTTTTGCTACCTACGTATGTTAGATAAATTAGTATTGCTTCAGTTTATCGATTAAAACACTCATGGATTGATTTGATTAAAACTATGTTAAGTCCACACAACTTCAAAGTGATTTAAAAAAATCTCTTGGTGATTATAATTAAAAATGAATCGCAATTTCTCTTTTGGACCGAATTTTTTTTTATGGCATAAGCCGGTAAACGAGCCGAGGGATCACCTGATGGCTTTTTGGGGATTAGGAGTTTGAGGATCGTTGAGGATTCATGGCTTGGGGAGATTGGGGAAGGGGAGGGTAATTGGGCCTCCGGTAACCTCACTCACACGACGAAACACAACGCAAGCGTTGCTTCACGTCGGTATTTCAATGATTCTTTCTTTTTTGTCGAGTTTAATGTTAAGTTTGGAAAAATCTGTATTGTAACTTTCGTGAGACATATTAATAAATTATTATGTTTTCGAAACATAATGTAAAAGCCGAAAACATAATCATTTATTTGGAAAAATCGTAGAAAAATCGAGAAAAGTTGAAGTTATAAAGGCGTTAAGAAAACAAATGACAGACTTGAGTAGTTGGGTCTGACTGACAGATAATGCATAAGTTACTGCACCTAGGAAGCTGAAATTTAACAGGTATCTTGGGCAGTGTGCACTAAGAGCCTCAAGGAGCCATCAAACCACCACAGATAGGGCCCAATAGGGCTGATACCGATACAGAGCCGCGGAAGACTTAACGGGTTGCCGGGGCTCCGGCTCGAAGTGCAGGAGTAGGAACGGGGTGGTTTTTAGTCATTAATAAATAACAATTATTCTGACACTTCCTCTCGCCTCACCCTGGCGGGAGAAGTCATTGGATGATTTTCCCCCCTCAAAATAAAAAAGGGGTGCACTAAGAGGATAGGTATCCCACGGGGACGGGAAAAACGGTTATCACTTATTTGTGTGCATAACGTCGCCAACAGAAGGTAGAAGAATTTTTTTTAATGGGACAAGCCCGCCACAACCTCCCAAAACCGCTGCAACTCCTGTAAGCCAGTATCTACAGTAGATACATGAAAACACCGGAACACTGAAGTCCAACGTCTCAGGGACATGAGTAACTGTCTTGGTTCCCGCAACGAAGTGAATCAGAAGATATTATAAGAGGAGAAGAATATAAAAATTGCGAATTAATGCTAAGTATTTGACTTTAACTTAATTGTATTTATATTAGAGTCGCGGTGGCCTGGAGGTGCAAGGCACCCGCTTCTCAGGCCCGGTTTCGTTTCGTACCCGCACTGTTCGAAATCTAAGTACGAACGGCAAGTACCAATGTGACTTTTTCCGAGTTATATGTACTTTCTAAGATTATCTAGACACCACTGACAAACGGTGAAGAAAAACATCGTGATGGAAACGTAAGCTTATATTTCTAATTATAAGTTTGAAATCGCCAACCCGCATTGAGCAAGCGTGGTGATTAATGCTCAAACTATCTCCGTGTGAGAAGAGGCCCTGATGGTGTTGTTAATGTATTTATATTGTCAAGAAGCAATGTTCTTAACAAAAACATTTTAATTTACTTTATTGGGTAAGTACGTATTGTATTAGAGAATAATTTTGTTAAGAAAACATCTTATTTCCAATTATCGTAAATTATAATATTATAAATCTTTATATATAATTATAATTCTTCTGTGAGTGTGTATGTCACTGAACTACTCTCAAACGTCTGGACCGATTTTGATGAATTTTTTTGTGTGTGTTCAAGGGGATCTGGGAATGGTTTAGATTCACAAATCAGCCCGGCAGATGGCGCTGCAGTCGATGTTTAGGTTATTTATCCTAAACAGCTGAACTAATTTGAATGAATTTTTGTTTATACATTCAAGTGGATATGCAGGACAACGTCTGTTGGGTCCGCTAGTATATATATTATAAATGCGAAAGCTT